GCCCCCAGACCTAGCGTGAGTTGAGCCCATAGGGTGGGTTGGGGACTCACGCCCTAGCCAATTCTTTAAATATATATATATATATATATGTGGTCTATTGGTGGAGCAGCCTCTATGAAGGTCGTAAGTACCCCTCAGGTCCCAGGTTTGAATCCCCTGGTGGCGCAGTGTCGCCTTAAGCCATGTGATAATTGAATTATTTGCACACTGGGTCGCCCCCAGACCTAGCGGGAGTTGAGCCCATAGGGTGGGTTGGGGACTCACGCCCTAGCCAATTCTTTAAATATATATATATATATATATGTTGAAATTAAGAATAGTGCGGAATAAATCGTAATTTCCATTCATATTAGAGGGAGTATAAATTGCTCTTAAATTAATCTAGAATAGAAAAGATATATCACCTAATATCTCCAATTAAATCAATTCATATTAATTATTTAGAGATAAAAGAAATAACATAAAATAGGAAAACCTAATAAGAAAGAAAATAATTCATAATCCAAGCAAATAAATATAAAATAAAAAATGAAATAACTCCAAATCTAAGGAAATAATTTATTCTTTATAACTTCTCACATAATAAATTATTTACTAATATAACTTCTAACACTCCCTCCAAATTGAAATATGATTGAAAATCATATTCAACTTTGATTTGAAACCAACAAACAATAGTGAGGGAGATCCCATGAAGTTGAACTTGAAGTCATCATCCAGTACTGCGGTTGTCTTTGACTGTGATTCCTACAGTATCTATAGACAGACGGAAAGCTCATATAGGTAATACTGCAAGGAAGTTTGCAAGGAAGTAGATAATTGTGATTGTTTTTTACTGTAGTTTCTGCAGTGTTTGTAGGTAGACAAGAGACTCCTACAGATAATATTACAGAGGAGTTTGAAGAGAATTAGACAATTGTGATTGTTTTTTACTGCATTTCCTGCAGTGCCTATAGGTAGACATAAACTCTTATAGGTAGTGATGGAGGGGAGTTTGCAGGGAAGTAGATAACCTGCAGGAAAAACTGACTTAGTTGATTGTGATTGTCTTTTATTGTAGTTCTTGCAGTGTGTAGAAACTGTAGGAACTTGAATTCATCATTCAGTACTGCGGTTGTTTTTTACTGTAATTCCTACAGTATTTGTAGGCAGGCGGAAGACTCATACAGGTAATACTGTAGGGGAGTATGCAGGGAAGTAAATAATTGTGATTGTCTTTGACTGTAGTTTCTGTAGCGTTTGTAGATTGACGTAAGACTCCTACAGGTAATATTGTAGGGGAGTTTGAAGAGAAGTACACAAATGTGATTGTTTTTTACTGCAATTTCTGCAGTGCCTATAGGTAGACATAGACTCTTATAAGTAGTGATGCAGGGGAGTTTGCAGGGAAGTGGACAACCTGCGGGAAAAAATGACTTCTAGTTGACTGTGGTTGTCTTTTACTGCAGTTCCTGTAGTGTCTGTAGGTATACAGAAGGCTCCTACAGGTAACGCGACAGGGGAATTTGCAGAGTAGAAAACCAACATGAAAAGTTGCAGGGCATGGCCTGTAGAAAACAAAAAGAAAAAACTCCAAAGGTAGGCCTTGCTGCAGGAAAAGCTCCAAAGGAGAGCTTCATATAGAAAAAAACTCTAGAGAACCTACTGTAGGAAAATTATGGAGGAGATACATCCTGGATAGCAGCAGCAAGAGATTGAAGTCGGCGTTTCAGCAAATTTATGAACCTTATTTTTAACATCCTCCCTGGCATTGAATAGGCTAAGTATCTGCTCAGGAGCACCTTTGCTGACACGGTGTCAGTGACCTTTTTAGGATCCGCAAACATCCCAACCATGGCAGTCATCATTTTCGTAATTCTACCTTGTTGTGATAACCGATGAGAACCAAAAGCCACAATGCTGACAAGGCAGTAGGCACGGTGATTGGGATGCTTCCAATTAGAAGGAAAAGCATGTTGTCAATCCCATCTCTCTACTTGTGATGTTGGATAGGATGCATGACTATAATCTCTACAAGCATGCCAATGACGATGGAGCAGATGCAGAAATTCCCAATGGCGGTGAGAACCTGCTGGAAATGGCCAACTTGGTTGGTGTTGTCAACAAAGGGGGCAGCCTCGCCAAAGAATGTATGGAGGCTAGAGAAAATGACAACTGCCTCAAGCTCCTCTGTTTGCGGGTAGAACCAAAGAAGACCTCATCGTCGAGGTTTTTAGCTAAATAAAGAGATTTGTCAGTGAGAGCATACTAGTCAATCTTGAGGGGATCGCCCTCGAGAAGCCTAGGATCAACTGGGATGCAGAGCAGTTGTAAGAGAGGATTGTTGTTGTAAGGTTGCGAGAAATCATGGAAGTCGGACTGTTGGAAATCAAGAAGCCAGACTATTAAAAATCAGGACAATTACAGGAAATTAGCGAAGCCAAATTGCTAGAAACTAAGAAGCCGGACTGCTGCAGGGAACGGGTGCAAAAAAACAGCGGGAAGGACCTCCAGGAAAAACTGCACCTTCAGCGGTAGGGACCTGCATAAAAGTAGTGAAGCTGAACTGCTGTGAACTGCTGGAAACCAGGAAGACGGACTGGTGCGGGAAACAGGTGTCAAAGCCAACAAGGACCTACAGAGTATGATGCCCTCTAGAAGAAAAACTATGTGGATGTGCAATATAACACCCTCTGATCTTGACCATAGCAATGGTTGATCTAATAAACGAAGAATCACTATCGAAACAGTCCACATCGACAAGGTTGAAGTACTCCCTCTGCAGATATTTCTCTAGGAGAAGCCTATTGGTATCATAATGAGTAACCACCTTCTTTCCCCTCTTGCAAAAACCCTATGAACCAAGGATGAGAGGTTGGATGTGATGAGGTCTAAACGAAGTTAGCCTCGCTTTGCACGAGGTAGTGTAGGGAGCGCACGCTGCAACCACACGTGGCATTGATGATACATAGGCCCCGACCCATGGAGCAGTGTTGGAGACCAGCGACAAGGACGCTACGATCGCGGTCGATGATGTTGTCATAGCGGAAGGAGGAGTCGGTTTGACCAATGGCTTTCACTGGCAGCATGACTTCGCGATTCTGGGGTTGACAATATGTCAGAGGTTTTGGAAGCCGACTCTGGAAGACGAGAACAATAAAAACAACAGTGTAGAGGAGGAAGAGAGCCTCCTAAAGTAGAAATACATAAGAGAGCAAGACAAATGCCCCTCCCTTCCTGCACAGAGAATGGCAGGAAAGGAGTCTGGTGGTTCTGGAAGAGAACCGATGGCTAGGATACAAAATTAGGCTCTAATACCATGATGAAATTCAAAAAATTGTAAAACAAAACAGAATTTTTATTGATATGAGACTGGGTATAAATAACCCTTACATGAATCCTAGAACATGAAAGATAGTATAAATGAAATAATATGAAATGAAAGATATATCACTTAATATCTCCAATTAATTGGTTCATATTAATTATTTGGAGAGGATAAAAAAATAAAATATGAAAGCCTAAAACAGAAAATGAAATAACTCCTAATTCAGGGAAATAAATATAAAATAGAAAATGAAATAACTCCTCATAACTTCTTACAAAAATAAATTATTTGTATATGTTTGGGGTTTATATATAACCTACTTATGAACTTCACTGCTACCTCTCCTTTTGGTCATCTGCCATTTTAACCCTCTATTGGGCTCCAGAGCTGGTTGTGATATCTCTAAGCCATATTTTTTCACCAGATGAAGATATCTAGCATAAGAAAGAACATAAAAGAAAATATAATTAGTCCTGGGAACAAAGAGACTAATCATGCAGAAAAGCATTTAATTATAAAAATAGTTAATGCTTACTTCTCTGCATCAAAGTTTTTAAGTCCGAGATCTTCATCCCATACAAATATATAATCATAGGTTGCCACAACATCTGGATGTAGAAAGCGTTTCGCATACCACCTCAAGTATAAGAAGATGGAATGCAATGTTAAGAATCATGACATTGATGTACAAAAATTTTAAAAAAGTGTTTTTTTATATATGACATTAAAATTTGACGAGTAAACTGTTAAAATAGTCCCTTGATTATTTATATGGAGTCATTTTAATCCCAAAGCCTACAAAAGTGCCAAATTAGTTCTTAGACTATTTAAATTGGGGTTGAAATAGTCCTCCGCTTATAGTAAAAGTCCAAGGACTAAATTAACATTATTACAGACTCTGAGACGAATGACCCTGCAAAGAATCAATAGATTATCTTGACACTCTTCGTAAAGTCAGCATATAGAACAAACCTTCCAATAGAAACACTAATTTCATAATAGATAGTGCAAAACTATCAACTCAATTACCATTTCGCTTGCTTCCTCACACTGACATGAATTGCACGCTGGGACCACTCAAATTGCTCCCACTCGCTAGCGCGACCATCATAGTGAAAGAGCATGATTGTAAAATCTTTGGAGAACTACGCAAAATGTAGAAAAAAAACTGATATTTCAAAATGTTTGAAGATAAAGACAAATATATATATATATGATGCGTAAACAGACCTTTTTCATTGCTGCTTCAATATTTTTCGACTGATCAAAACCAACAGCAAATGCCACCAAGTATCTTGGCCGTGTTGGGAGGTCCTAACAAGTAGCATTAGTATGAGAGTTTCTAACTACAAGAACAATAATAAGGTTTTACTCGCCATGAAACGTGCAATTTGGAGCCAGGGTGGGTTTTGAACTTGAAAACAAAAATGAGATTTTTTTTTTTTTTAATGGTGTTTACATTAATGTCAAAAATGGCATTTGGGTAAGATTTGGATGAATGAAAATTACAAAATGCTTTCCTCAAAAAACAAATGAACATAGAAATTTCATAATTCACACCTTAAATAGTTGGGATGATGCCAAGGATTATGATGATGATGACAATGATGCTGATTATGATTATTATCATATTGTCTCAAAGGAATTACTTTTGAGTTTAACATTCTCCTCGTTTATAAATTATTACTTGAAATATTTAATTTACAAATACTATTTTCCATTTAATGGTTCGTAGATAGTGCACGTTTTATCATAACGGTAAACTTCCTAATACAGGATAAATCAAAACAACCGCTTCCTTGAATACAATTCTGAACAGCACATATTACAAAGACAAGTAGACTTAATTGAAACAAGATAGGAAGATTTACATACATAGCACTTAATTTTTATGTATTTACATATCTAACACCTAACCTTCAAATTTTACATATATGTCACTTTACCTATGCATGAAATGGTGTATTTCACTTTTTAAGAGTTAAAATGCTTGTATTTTTTATTGGTAATGAAAGATTCGGATGGTATAAGTGTAAAGAGTGAAGTTTAAGCCTTAGATATATAAATACATAAGAAATTGGTGGTATGCATGTAAATGCCCCAACAAAAGATGGGTAAGCACTTAACAAATGCAAACAGGAAAAGATGATGCTAAAATTTAAAACAAGAGAGGTTTTCCAAACGAAGATACCTCGGCAGGGTCTCCCCATAACCGACGGAGATAGAAATCCGACTCAGAAACAACAATGCCAGGAGCTAGTGACTCTGCGCCTGGAGGATTTGACTCCACGTATATCTAAAAAGAAAAAGTCAAAACAGCACTTTATCAAACATTTAAGATCTCAGCAACAATGAAGAGAAAACTAATTAAGATTCATATATATTTACAAGGATTACACCTCGAGGGATGGTTGGCTCTTAAGCATGAACTTGTAATTTTTACTTTGAAATAACTCGTGCATTTTATGGGGCATTTACATGCATACCGCCCGATTCCTATGTATTTACATATCTAACATCTAAATAAAGCCTGGCCCAACATAAATAAAAATTGGTGAACAACATCTAATCTACCACAACAAAAGGAATAAATATATGCGTTTGATTTCATTTGTGACCGGCAAGGGGAAGAGCTACAAAATAAGTCCATTGAAAATCCAAGAAAATCTTAACTAAACATGAAGTGGTTAAGAAGATCCTACAGCGGCGCTGAGCTTGAACGTGAAGATTTCTAAGCATAACTATAAAACATACATCTACGAAATGAACATTAGAAGAGAACTGCAACATATCAATTTAAATCTCACTCAAATCAGTACATATTGAGAAGAAAATGACAAAAACATGGGGGGTCATTTACATACATACCCACCCAAGTCCTGTGTAGTTACAAATCTAACAACTAAAGTTTATTTTTTACATTTATAATACCCAACCATTCATATCACAACAAAAAGACCACTATTTTAACTTTATTAAAGCGAAATACATCTTTTCATGCATGGATAAGATGGCATGCATGTAAAAATTGAAGTTCTTGAAGTTCAGGTGTTAGTGTTAGATGTGTACATGTGTAAGAATTGAGTGGTATGTATGAAAATTTTCCCAAAAACAAGCGTTAGCTTCATTGTAAGAATACTTACAAAGCAAATCCCAGGTAAAACATAAATACAAGCTAGAGTTCCAAATAAATATGACACAAATGTGATAAAATATGCTAACAACAACGGATAATCATGAAGACAAAAAAAGAAATTGAAGAAAAAGAATCAGACAATTCCTTGTCTCCAACATAGTAAAAGTAATAAATAAACAATGCCCCTTTCATATATTACAGAAAGGGCAATTTACATAAATATCATACATTTCTTATATAGTTACATATCTAACGCCTAAACTTTCATATGTACATATATACCACTCAAATCTTTAACATCATACAAAATACCACTATTACTAGGTTTTTAAAAGTGAGATACACCTTTTCATGCAAGATTTTATTACACCAAAGTGTTATAAATGTAAATATCAAGCTTTGGGTATTATATTAGATATGTAAATTCATAAGAATTATGTGGTATGTAAAATTACCTTACAAAAGAAGAACATGTAAAGAGGATGTACCTGTAAACTGTCATTCAAACCATGTCTTTCAACAGGCCGCTTCGCATTCAAACTAGCTCGTGGTTTCGAAGAAATAGTATTCGCTGAAAAACTATTGCTATCGATGAGTGCCGTGCTAACAGCGGACGAAAGACCTGACGCCAAACTATGCTGCCAAGTACAAACCTTGTTTCAGAATTTACAATCTACAATAAAATTCATTTTTCAAACTGATAGAAATGAGAAAGGATGGAAAAAAGGGGAATTTACATAGGTATCACACAATTCTTACATATTTACATGACTCACAACTAAACTTTCATATTTACATACAGGTGCTTTAAACATATGCATGAAATGTGTATTTGACTTTTAAAAAGTGGGAATAGTGCTATTTTTTATTTGATGTTAAAGATTTGTGTTACGCGTGTAAATATGAATATTTAGGAGTTAGATATGTAAATACATAAGAATTGTGTGCTATGTATGTAAATAACCTAAACATAAAGCATACCTTAGAGATGGAAAAGCACTCAATTGAGATCCCAAGGAAGAATCCAAGGGCGAGACCCAGAAGAGTTGTCACTATTAGTCTAAAACAATCACTTGATCTTCTACCTATTCCACTGCATTCATCATAAATGGATAAAAAAGAAAAATTTACATACATGCCACACAATTCTTATGTATTTCTAACACTTAAACTTTGATAATTACATTTATAACACTTTGGTGTTAAAACTCATACATTAAAATGTGTATTTCACTTTTAGAAAATTAGAGATAATGATGTTTTTTAGTAAATTGGTAATAATGATATTTTTTATGTAATGCCGAAGATATGAGCGGCATGCATGTAAAGTGAAAGTTTAGATATTAGATTTGTAAATATATATGAATTTTGAAGTATGTAAGTAAATGCCTCATAAAAAAATTTTAAATTTCAAGCCTTGGTGTGATTTTTTGGCAACTGATGGCGGAAACATAACAGACATTGAAATAGCTAAAAAGGCAAAAGCTTGAAATTAAAGATAGTAAAAGAGGGAGAAAAGTACGAACTTTCGATGATTGTTCCCTGTCATACTATGGTATCTTAGTGCAATCCCAAAACCTGCATTAGTCATACAATAGAACATCTTTAGCCTCAAATTCAATCAAGCAGCAATTAGAGCAACAAGAACTCCTTCCCAACTAAATAAATAGTTTTCTTCCTAGTAATAAATGCTCATTAAAACATTATCACAAAAACAAATAAAAGCAAGAAAGTAAACATTTGAGGCTGGAGCTAACCTAAATTTGAGCTCCATTGAAAATGCTTATATATTGGTTTCCATTCCACATAAAGTGGGAAAGTTTGTTTGGCTGTGATACTTTTATAGAAGCACTTTTGATGAACATACGTTTTTCTTTCAATGCCCGCTATTGTTTCCAAATAATTTTATAACAATGCTTTCCGAAAAACAAATTTCGAACAAAATTTCATAAAAATGAAAGCTCCGCCAAACGGAGCCTATTGTCAACTGAAAGTTTGAGGGGACTTTAACTCCCATTAATAAATATCATTTCAGCACTGTTAATAATTAAATTCAAGATTTGTTAAATTCCACACTATATTAATAAATTTAAGAATTCCTCCCCTCTCATGAACCTTAAATCTTGAAACAAATGGATAGAGAGATTGTCAGGATTTAAAAAATTTAACAGTTATCAAGTCAAACAATTTGAAGGTTTTAATCTTCTGAATATCAATTAAACCTGAATTTATAAAATTTAGTAAATCCTATTTGTTACCAAACAGCCCCTGAAGAAGATGTGGCCCCGTGTTTTTTTCCCATCTTATTTACAAGAAGAGGAAACATATGTATTTGCAGAGGCGGAATCAGCCACTTTTTTTAGGGGGCAAACTGCCCCTCGCGACCCGATTTGGTGGGGACTAGGGTAACAAAGAGCAAAGTGATATTTCAGGATGGGCAAAATTGATATTTAAGAAGGGTCAAAAGACCAAATTGTCCTCTCATATAAATAAAAATCTGAATTTGAGATGAGGTAATTGCCCCTCTTACCCTGCCTGTGTTTGCAAAGTTGCAATAAGAAATCATACTATCCAAAAGCACCCTCATGCCATTGCAGCTACTCGCAATAAGCACCAGATAAAAATAAATAAATAAATAAATAGTACAATTATAAATCAACTATGTGCTTGGTTGTTTAGCGCACCAAATTTATTTTGATTCTTAAACTATCTTTCCATTTTTTTTGAAATATTTACATACATACCACTTAATTCCTATGTATTTACATATCTAAAGCATAAACTTCTATTTTTACATATCATACCCATGCATGAAAAGGTTTATTTCACTTTTTAAAAGTTAAAATAGCAGTTTTTTTTTTGTCATATGAAGGGGTTGTTTGGTTGTAAGTAGGATTTAGCATTACTTGGATTTAGTAAATTCGCAAATCGTAAATCCATTAAAACCATCCTCGTAAATCCAAATTTATGTTGAATCGAAGGCAAAATTCAAGACCTTAAAAGCAAGAATTCATAAATCCATGGAACTCACTCTTTTTTTAGTTTGGGTGGATTTCGTAAATTCGGTGATAAATGCTGTTAATAGGCATTACCAAACACCCCCGAAAATTTTTGACTCATATAAATGTAAAAAAGTAAAGTTTAGGCTACATATCTAAACACAAAGGAATTGGGTGGTATGTATATAAATGCCCAGTTTTCTCTTAAGATTGAATATTAAAAAAAAAATCCCTCTTTTGTTTGTATTGAAATCTCATCTGCATTTTCTTCACTAGAACTTCACAGTGATACCACGAGGAGAAAAAAAAAAGGGAACCTAAACAGTCAGTGCAAGTAGAATCAAACTAATAAACTTATATATTGAACACAAATAATCATCAAAAACTCATAAATTTTTTTTCCAAAACCGAACTTAAATCTTCTTTTTCATAAAAAAATTGAGACCAAACTTAAATCACCATAGCAATCGAGATACAATGCGAGCTAGTAGTAAGATCTGTGAATCTAAACTGAATCACTAGAAAAAAAAACAAAGAAGCCGATAACCATCATCATCGAATCGAATCAAGGTATCTTCGACACGATCGACTGAAACCAGAGAAAATTTTCTCACCAATCTGATCGGGAGAGCGACGACTGATTCTGAAATGTTCTCAAAACTTTCTCTTTGACGAATGATTCCCAGTTCCTGTCCCCTTAAGAATCGGAGAAGTGGACAAAACGGCCGGCGGGCGGCGCTTTGCCGCAGTCTCATGTAAATGCATGGGAACCGCCATTGACCCTCCAAAAAGTTTCCACTTTTGTATGATTTGAGTGGAGTTATGCAAATTGGATTTTAATGGAGAAGGCAAAGGTTGCCAATAAAATGTTTGTTATGCAAACTCCTGCCCACAAATCTCCACACACACAGATATATATATATAATTAAAAAAAATTATCTTAAATTTTTAGAAAATGCATTTTAATTTTTGTCTCTTTGCCTTATCCTCATACAAAATATGCCAAGTGCCACTTACACAATTTCTTTTTTTTTTAATGCAGATAAATCTTATTAAAAAAAAATACCAAGAGATAAAATTTAGGGAAATTTGCATATATACCACACAATTCTTGTATATTTACATATCTAACATCAAAGTTGTAACGGCTTAGTTCTATAATCTTACGCATAAAAAGATATTTTTCACTCATAAAATTAATTTTTGATGTGATGTCAAAAATTTAAATGGTATATAAATATGACTTGTTTAGGCCTTAAATATGTGAATATGTTTAAATTGTGACATGTAAGTAAATGCCCGTAAATTTTGCGAAGGACCGCAATTATCTTAAAAGTCGTCAAAATTAAGCATATTGTCACTCTAAGGATCCAACTAATTTCAAAATATTGCACAAATAAAAAGTTTTGTCAAATTCTTATTTGTGTTAATTGCTCTTTTAATATTTTTTTATAAAAATTTTGTTAAATTTGTAATGAAAAAATATTTGTTTTTCGCCCCTATAAACTCTTTTATAATTTATATATTATAATAATTCATATTATGCCGTAGAAAATAAATCGTTCGAAAAAATCTTATCCAAACTCGACCTTAATAGATGATCGAACCTGGCCTGACTTTAACGAGATTGATATGAACACAATCAACATAACTCGTTTAACACACTCATAATTTTATTTTATTTTTTTAAACAATCCTGCAGGAAATTTTATTTTAATAAAGAAAATGATACATTATTCGTGACTGACAGTTTCACGAAAAAAAGAAATCATCAATCACAAAGTACAACTCATACAAAAAAGTCTAAAAAATATTATCACATCAAATATAAGCAGTTTCTAAACAATCTCCGTGAATAAGAATAGAAAGCTCATGAGGCATTCGAACCGAGAATATGAAGTATTGTTTCTCCAATCTACGCTTAGCAGCCCAATTTGCACATTGGTTTTCTTTGCGATATGTAAATAACTAATTAATCTGCACATTTTTTTCATTTGAATAATAACTATTTGGGTTAAATATAGATTGATGGGCTAACTCCAACTCCACCCAAAAGGCGAAAATTGTTGATACCCAAAACTTAATCGGATCAGTCAAACCCAATATTTTTCAATTGGGTTTGACCCGAATTGATGTGTTGGCCAAATTTACACAAAAGCCCTTGCTATAACTACCAATTACAATTAAGTCAAAAAATTAAGAATATTATCTTAAAAAAAACTTATTCCTTTCTTATTCCAATCCAATTTTCCCATACATCAGAAACTTATCAAAAAACAAACGGCTGAGATACGATCATGAATCCATCACCACCGTCAATCATTCAAAGTCAAAATATATCCAAGACGTCCGAAATTCCTCCATTACACACGGGGCATCTTCTACCTCCGGTACTCAATGCCCGCGAGCACACCCTACAAAACGTGTGCCCGCAGGGAATGAACGCCGCTCCCTTCCGCCTCACCGCACACACAGAGCACAACGCCGCCTCCTCCTCCTCCTCCACCGCCGCCGCCGCCGCGGATGCCGACCTAACTCCACCGCCGGCGATATCGTCGCCGGTGGAATCATCCACCTGCAACTTATCCCCAATCGCGAGCAGCGTCATCAGAGAAACCCTCATCGGTCGCCTCCGTTCCCTCTCCGGCGGCGTTCTGCCGGCCGATGCCGATTCCTCCTCCCGAATGACGTTGAGAAGCATCGTCCGTCCGCCGGGAGTATCGGCGGCGCTACGTTGGGTCCGCCGCGGGGAATTTCTTCGAGGGATCGGTTGAGGAGAGTAATTGTAACAGGGTTATTCTGCCCCGACGGGTCGAGGCTTCATCCATCTTTGATCTGCTGCAAAGTTGAGGACCGATTTGGGCGAAATTGTTCGGGATTTGGAGGCATTTATGCGGGTTGGAGCCCGCCCGGCCGGCCAGAGAACGCTTCGTTTGTGGTAAGAAATTTACGATAATGCCCCTCAGGCTGAATAAGTTGGACTTACGGATGAGAAAATTTATTAGGCCTAAAATGTCTATTAATTCTCATGTTTTTTTGTGCTTGATTTTATTTACATTAAATCAATTATTGAATTCAAAAATGTCTATTAATCAGATCTAATTAATAGAGCATGAGAGGAGAGTAGGAAGTTGGAGGAGAAGTTGGAGGGAAAGAGGAAGAGAATATTATATACTCGAGCTACAATCTCTCAAATTAATAAGAAAAACTGTGGAGCACCCTTCTTTATAGAAGATTTAGTACAATAGTGATATTATAATTTTGCCCAAATATGGATGATGGTTTATACTGAGTTTATAGGTATTATACAAGTGACAACTCATCATCTGGTCATTTTTTTGCTCGGTCGACTATCCTGTTTGCTCGTGTTCAACCGGCTCTACTTGGTCGGATGAACTTGGTTGGCTTAGAAATCATATTTCTAGCAAGAAGTCTTTTGGTCTTCATTGGATGGTTAAATATGGTTTGTGGAATCAAACTCAATCGTTCCATCAGGTCGACTTTCCTGCATGATAAGTTTTTATATCGAGTCAGTTTTCTCATTTTTAAATATTCAAATATCTTTCTGATGAACTTTCGAGTTAGTTTTTTAGTTTTTTATCAGTTTTTCATCTTGATGAATGATGATGTTTTTTTGACACAGTTGGTCAACTCGATGAATCCTGTGATCTCCCTGTAGAGGACCATCCTTCTTCACGTTTTTTTATTATGGACCCTTGGATCTCTGTGAAATCAACTCCAACGTCTTTTTTATCTATACTAACTTAAATCATGCTGAAAGAGTGCTACCAAACACCCTAATGGGCTCGTGTTTGATAAAAGTGTCAATTCAAATCATTGAGCGCAATTCAAATTTAAGAGTCAGTTTAGGATAACTTTTTTGTTTTTTTTACGTGCATATTATCATTATAATTTTATTTGGGGAACGACTCTATATGTCATCCCAATCACAGCCTTAATCTACATTTAACTTAAGGTTTTTTTTCATTTAAATATTTTCTACTATTAAATGGGTTAGAAAATATGATGCAAACTCAACCCACCTTCAACTAAAACAACTCAAATAAAGCTCTATCTATTATTGTTAAATTATTGTTGTACATCAACAATGAAATTTCATATTTTTTAGGTTAAAAAGTGAGTGGGTCTATGTATTTACAATCAAAAAGTGGATTGTTAGCATCACTTTTTGATGTAATGTGTGTGGGATGGGTGTCCACATGAGTGCATCGGGGTCATGTTTAATGCATATACTGTTTCCCGTAGCTCGAGACATCTATTTGAGATTCTTCGGCGCGTGTTGAGGAGCACGCTGTCGGGGTCATTCTGCAGGGCTTTAATTTTCGCTTAGACGAAAATCGATCAACCCGATCAGCACTTTGTCTATCGAACGACTATAGTCCGACTAAACGATCTCATTCGCAGCATCACACGTGAACCGGAAAGGAAATTTATTCGAATAAGAGAATTATATGACGACATATAAATAGACAAATTGACGACTCTAAATATTTAAAAAATAATTGATAAAATATAGATTATTTCAACAGGACTGCACTCTACAGTTTTTTTTTTTCTTTTTGGGTTTTCCGCGTAAAAAATCTCCTGCTTACTTCTGTGTTTTGGATCATCATCTAATTCTAAGACGCTAAATTTCACGAGTATATTTCATTAACCTTCCGGCACACAATAACATTAAAAATGATATATTAACTAACTTTTTAAAATTAGGACACACATATTATAATATTTTTGTTATATATATATATATATATATTGTCTTTGTTCATTTTTAAGCATGAAATAGCATACAAAACAAAACATGAAATAACATGTGAAAATGAATTAAGAAATAATGCTAAAGAAACATAAGGTAAAATGTGGAACTTGAAACAACATATGAAAGAGCATGTATTCTTAGCCATGGGTTAGACTTGGTTAAAATTTTAAAATATTACATAAAATAAACGAGATAAAATACTTAATATTAGGGATAATTACATACAAATCATTAGAAATATTGATATTTACAATTAAGTATCTAGGTGTTTGTTTTTAACTAACAAAACAATATATTTGTGCATGCTGCCACTAAACTATTAAGAATTTTATAAAAATGAAAAATTTTGGATTGATTTGTAAATAGCAATTTTTCCTTGAAATGAGTGCAACGTAAATTCTATTTAATTTTCATATTTTATATTAAGCAAAATATTAATTAATTTAATAGCTTTAATAAGACATATTTTGATTAGTTTTTTTTTTCTTTCATAATGATGGTGATATCATTAATAAGAGGCAAGTTTATCAAGTGCTTTATACTCCAAAGATATAACCAAATCAAACACTAATTAACATTTCATATTTGTGATAACATTTATTTGATATTGTTAATATCTAAATAATATTTGAACAAATGATTTCAACTTTTGATAAAACATCAATAAATTTTCATCATTTGCCATGAATCTCAAGAAATGACACAAATCTATGGATAATTTTTTTAAAAAGAAATATTCAAATTCACATTAAAAAACATATTGAACTCGGATTCAAGCCAAGCTAACTGGCTTGAGGCGACAAACACAATGACTCTAACACCGACCCAATTCCAGTCAAATCAAGCTCAGATTGAGCCGTTAAACTACTTTTGAAAGCTTTTAGTGCACAATCAGAAACTCAAATAAATTTCAAATTTGACGAACTCATAATCAAATCAAACGACACGATAAAAAGAATCCAACGAGCCCATGATCACTCATTTTTATACACTTTTAAGGCACTCAAATGTCTGCATACGTTGTCCGATTAAGGATATCTCTTTGGGCCATCTTATGAAGTGATCCATGTTCTTTTGTTATTTGTCACGAGGTCACTCATATACTTTGTAAATGAGGACTTAAGGCCTTCATGAAATTGAATCTAAACCTTCAGTAGGAGAATGTCTAGAGCTTTGAGAAGAATAAGCTAAGGTCCTGAATAAGATGAGGGAAATATTTTTGTGGTGTTATCGGGCCGATCACCTCCATAATGTATATTCATTGGATTCCGTACGTAAATTTACGTGCGGAGTCTGATTTAATATTTTTTGGTTTCTTTGTTCCTTTAATTAAATGCAATGGCAAGAAAAGAAAAATGCAA